GGACTGATATGTTGATCTCTTTTTGTTTTAGTCAGGACTCTTGCAGCTGCATTCTGAAGAAGCTGCAGCTATACTGTCTATAATATATGTTTGGCATCATTGTTCTGTTGGAGAAAAATGTTGGAGTGTGTTCAAACAATAACTTCTGATTTTAATTCAAATTGAAGAATCTATGTCATATTTGTAGATATCTGAAATTTCTGTTTCGATCATTTCATTATTTCTGTACTTCTTTTTTTTGTCATTTAGTTTATTCCTCTCTTCATCCATCCTCTTTACACCCTTGTCCCTCAGTGGGGTCGGGAGGGTTGCTGGTGCCTCCAGCTAACGTTCCGGGCGAGAGGCATTCTAGGGTATTTCCCTAGAATGGCGTGTCTTTTTGTCTACTGCTCATATTAGTTTCAGGTTTTCCCCTAATGTTCTCCCTTCCCCAGCTGCATCCGCTCACCTGTAATTAGCTCTTTTGTTCCCTTTTATCATCTCCACCTCTCTCTCAGTAATAAGCTCCTCTCTCCCTCCCCCCCATTTTAAGACACATTATCACACCTTCTGTGGAATCACAAACATTTGTGCTGTCACACAGCATGATGCTGCCACTACCATGCTTGACAATTAACACAGTGCCTCGACACGACTCATTCAAACTGCTTCTAGCCACTGCAGCGAAATATCTCCGTGTTTGTCTCATTTAACCATAAAATGTCTTTTTGTTTTTTTTTTCCTGGAAGGCATTTGGTTTGTCTACATAAGCAGCCGCAAATTTTAGTCAAGCCAGATAGTTTCTGTTTTAGAGCAGAAGGTTTTTGTTTTTTTTGTCGGTTGGCACCTTGCGGTATGTGGTGACGAAAAACTCGCTTAGCTTGGGACACTAACACTCGTCTTCCAGTTTCTAATAATATTAAACCAATTTTCCTCCATCTGACAGTGATGGGTAACACGATGCAATAGTGTAAAATTGTACAGATTTTTTTTTTTTTTTCCAACATAGCCTTTTTTTTTTCTTTTTTTTTTTTATTGAGCAATGCTAAAAAGTTTCTGGAACAATCTCTTCAAAGCCCCAGAATTAACACGAATAAAAATTTATAAACCACACATAAATGCCTGGAAACCAACCAGTTTGAATAAGCTCTACTAATTCTCTCCAGAGCAGTAACAGAGTTCTGCCCAAACTTTATTGATGCCACATTTCTTTCGATGGCTGTGCTCTAACGACTAGTTTATGGTAGACAATATATTTATACCCATGTTGGGTGTTTGGAAGCTTCTCAGTACTTGTAAGAACAGGATTTCTCCACAAACAGAATAATAAAAAAAAATGTTTTGATTAGGCTGTCCTAAAATAACTGACAATCTCAGGCTAAGACAAAATAAAACAATGTTTTTTTGTTGTGTTTTTTTGTTGTTTTTTTTCAGACTCTTGGTGTGACTTCTTCCCAGGACCGCGCCCTGATCAAGAAAAAGATCAAAGACCTCAAAGTTCTGATGGAGAAGGCCCGGCGCAACCAGGAGAAAGTGGAGAAACAACGCGAGAAGATACGGAAGAAGGAGCTGGAGCAGCAGCAGAAGGACGCGTGCAAAGAAAGCTCCACGGAGTGAAAAGAACCCGACCTCCTTGTTGTCGTACTGTAGCGCCACACGGAGTAGCATCTCGGTCAGCAGGTCCCTCGTAGAAACCCAGCGGGGGACGCCTGCTCTGTAGTTCTCAAAGTTGGAGCTCCACAGCTGGCCGTCAGAAAGGGGCTGAGTGACCTATTCCCCCTGACATACCAAAACTAAAACTAGCTTTTGGTTGGTGGAATCCTGCCCGTCATTTTCCCAGTTTTCTTCCCCCCGTCCATCCTGTAATTTTCCCCTTTTTGACGAGTTGCTAAGTTCTATTTATTTTTGCTGTTTATAGCTGTAAATTGGATTTTATTTATTCATATGCAGAGTCAATCTGTGATGAAGTTCATCTCATCTCATCCTCCTCCCACATCATCACAGACAAAAACACGTGTTCATGTACAGCGATGAATACAAAATACGGATATGTCTGACGTGCCATTTTAATAGACTTGTGAAAACCTGAATGAGCAGAATCTACTGTTTTTTTTGTGAAGCAGGTCAGTTTTCTGCGAGGTAGATTTTAAAAGGCCATCCCTCACCTCCCGCCACTGGGTGGTCTCCATGACGCTTATTTCCTCCACCCAAGGAAGCAGAACAGGGAGACAAGAAGATCTGCTGGAGAACACTGGAAGTGCAAACACTGAAAATGTTGACATTATATACATCACAAAGCAGCTCGACTGATAAAAGACGTACTGTATTCGCCGGACTGGGTTTGTAAGTGATTTTCAGGTACTGTGCAAGCAGTGAATTTGTAAACCTAACCTAATCCTCAAGAAGCTCATTTACTGAAAACTTCCTGCTCATATGCATAATGTTGCTCCGACTCCACTAATAACCTGCTTTTGACCTCCTTTTGTAAGTCGGTAATAAAGTTAAACCCCGCTGCTGCCTTTAGACATGCTAGAGTAGTCGAATACTTCCTGAGCTCTACCTGCTTCTGTGTGCGTGTCGAAACGAACGCTAAGCTAATTCTCTTATATTCTTTCTTGTTGTTCTTTTCGATGACTCACACGCAAATGTCATGCCTGACGCTGTAATGTTACACTGGAAATCCACGTTGAGTAGAGATGTACCGATTAGACTTGTTGGGCCAATTTCAGATGTCCTGCTTTTCTAAGGCTTGATCAATCAACGCCAAATTTAGCTGTGTTCAAATCTGAAAACGCGACGTGCATTTTACAAAGTTTGATAACGCTTTGATAATGTTAGTCACCATAAGGGCTGTTCTGTTATTTTAAAACGGAAAGAAAATGGTTACAAAGGTCACGTTTTAAGCCATCGTTAGCGTTAGGATTTGCACAGCTAGCATGTTTCATACTACAAAAATAGCAGACTTTAACCTTAACTGTGAGATTTACACACACACACACACACACACTAACAAAACATCTCCAAATTCAGAATATTCAGTAACAGAGTGAAAGCTCAAATGGATATCATAAAGCAGCTTTGCAGTACATTTACCCTTCCTGTTACATGCTGGAAGTTTTGCTCTCTCACACTCTCTTGCAGCATGAACAAATTCTACAAATTTGTTTCTACAGCAGGACATGGTGTAGGAAAAAAAACTGATTTCTGCAGGATCTAAAAATAATCCACATTTAGCTCGATTTGGCTTATTTCAGTGGTTGACTAAAACTCACCACTGAGTTTGAAACTAACAGTAAGTCAATTATTGCCGTTTAAGGACCATGTCAGAGCTAAAAACATCAACTTTAGTTGCTAAAGTTCTTTTTAATTTAGCTCCCCTCCCCCCCTCCCAATAAATTAAATATAAGGTTATAGGTAAGTATGTTAAGCTGACTTACTGTGTAATGGTCTTAAAACGATCCTACAAATATGTTGCTGTTATCACAACCTGGTAACAAGGTAACACAAGATATCGTGAATTCCCTGATTGGAAAAAAGATCAGATTTTTGAGTTGGCCGGAAATCCCTTGTGACCAATCAAGCTCTGATTCTGGTCACTAGCCGATCTCTCGGTGCATCTCTATCATCAATGTCTTATCCGATTCTGTATCTGATCCAGCTGAGACCATATCCAGTACATGTTAGGATGCTTGAAGTTATTTAAAATGTTATTTAAGATTATGAAAGGTTTCTTGTTTCCAAGGGAACATTTGGTAGGATTTGCGCCACATGATTGGAGTGAGCCCGTTCTGTTCGAGAAGCCTTATTGACTTGCTGCTAACAGGTTAGGAACAGGCATTGTCGCAGCATCACCAGTCACTATTATTTATCTATTCATATATTTTACTAAGTATATATCTGTTGTTTTCTTAACTTATAAATATAAAGAGTTTTATTAACAGCCAATAATGATTTATCCAGAATTGTACGACTCTACTACCCTTTTTCCTAAATCATGTCTGAATCCTCCCATTAAAACTCAAACGGAAAATGAGAAGTTCATCCAAAGAGAGAAGGATACTCGGTAGTAATTCCCGTTGTGGTTTTCCTCTCTCGCAACCACAATGCTGCTCCTCTAGCGAATAACTCCTACGAAATATTTTGTAACCCTCTGTGAATATACAGCAACCTTGGACTCTTTTGACTCTCTCTCTTTTTTTTTTTTTTTGTATGTACAGTTAAACACTAAAAGCAATATGGTGTAAGGATCCTGCAGAAGCCTTGTTTTATATTGCGTCAGTGTGTTTGCGCAGTTCGTCAGGAGCTGGAGGAGACCCCGAGCCACCGGCGGGACTCCGCGGTGCATCTTTTCTACTTGTCTGATTGAGCTTGCCTGGGCTTACTCATCCCATGTGTGGATGGGACCCTGGTACTCCTGGCAGGCCAAAGAAACGCAGGTGGTTCAAGTACATCGGTCTGGAAGTGTTTGTCTTTTTATGTGCATTGAGAGTGAAAGAGCTTTGTCACCGACAGTAAGTCTTGCTTTTACCCTTACGAAGCTGCCCCACTCCTCTGTTGTCTTTTTCTCTTTTTTTTTTTTTTGCATTCAGCAGAGTTTGAAAGGGCAGCAACCTGTCTGTCACGCTAAATAAAATGTGCAGTCATTGTCCACAGTTTGCCTTGGTTATTTCTTTGTTCCTGTTTAGTTATTTCGATTTTATTTCGACATAAACAGTTTTATCAATCATAAATAACCTACTTGTTAAACATCAGTTTTTTACATGTTGCAATTTAAAAACAAAGCAAACAACAAAAAACCCGTCTGCACATTTAAATTTGGGCAGGGCAGAAAACACATGTCACAAACAGAGATGTATAAAATATAACTGGATGTGGCGAAGATAAGATGCGATTAATTACAGCAGTGCTCTAACAGGGAGCTCTGGATACATTTTGTTTACCAGAGCTTCGATAAACAGAGCATGGAGCTCCTTATTTCACAGCACTACCTTTTTTTTTTTTAAACATCCTTTACCAATTTTTCTTACTGCAGACGTGGGAAGTTTTAGGAAAGTAGTCATTTTCTTGAGGCTGATTTTGTGACCTATTATCCGTGTGTGTGTTCCGTCATCTTTCACAATTTGAACATTAGCTTTCTGTGTCACATTATATTAATATCCTAATGGAACAGGAAATCATAGATCATTTGGTAAAGGCTTCTGGACACTGATCAATTTAAAAAGGAAATAAAGTATAATAAACGGCAACAGAAGCTACTTTTTTGCAGGAATTGTTGGGGGTGCAAATAACTGTCGCCTTCTGCTGTGTCTTTTTTTCTTCCGTGAAAATTTTCTTTTGATTGAATAAATGTACTCAAAACACATTGTTATACAGTGTGAGAAAATAAAAAAGTAAAAAAATTGTTTACAAGACATTTCCAAATCTTTAGCTAGAGGGTGCTGCATGGGTTTCAGATAGAAATAAAATGCTGAGTTTTCTTTGCTAAATTATTGATGTGCAAGTTTGGTGCCTTTTAATTCCTGATATATCAGTAAAATACTTCAGATCTCCCCAGAAAATAATCTGGTTAAAGTAAAACGAATCATCAAAGTTCCCCAGAGGCCTAACATACTCAGAAAGGCGGTTATTTATACCATGTGACCTTCCACTGAATGACAGACATCTCAGCCGAACAGCTGTTCTACGGTGAGCAGCGGGAACCGACCTCTGCGCTTTCTATTTATGTCTCACTTCAGGAGTCACTATTTTCTCCCTCGTGACGACACGCTGCTGCTGCTGCCGCCGCTCGCTTCCCGTCTCCTTCGACTTCATTTCCGTCCTCCTTCCCCAAACTATTCCCATGGCTATAGGTTCTAATGGTTGACATGCTTCTTGATTCCCTTATTGCTACTGTTTGTATGATCATTTCCAACCTCATACATGCTTTGTGGACAATAATAAGTTCTGACCCTGTCGATTTGGGAGGACAGAGTGGCTTTCTGCACGATTACATGGAGGAATTGAGCCCCAGACAGCTGGCAGTCAAACAGCTAAAGGAGAAGTTCCTGAAGGCCCTGCAGGAAAACAATGCTGAGGAAGTCCTGCAGATTCTGAACTCTGGCAAACTTGACATTGACACAGTGCTGGAGGTGGAAGATCCCAGCATGGTCTTGGCCTCTTATAAACAGGGTAAGTAAAAATTTAATTTTCCCAATTTCCCCTCCATAATGAGAGTAATGTATTAGTTTAACCACCAGGTGGTGTTAAACGCCCACAAACATTAAATCACTGAAGTAAATATAGCAATTAAAACCTAAAATGAGCTTTTTTAATAACTCAGAAAAGCTCTACTGATTTTATTTCCCCAGGATACTGGTTGCCAGGCTACAAGCTGGAGAAATCCTGGGCGATGGGTATCCATGTATGTGTGATGTACAACGCCGTGGAGACGGCGCTGGTCCTCCTCCAGAAAGGTGCGGCCATCAACCGCATGCCCAACGGGAAAACGCCCCTGCATGTGGCCTGCGAAGTCTCCAACAGCGACTGCGTGGCCCTGCTCTTGGCTTACGGGGCAAAGGTCAACAGCCTGTCGCTGAGCGGTCACACTCCTCTGCACTACTGCATCGCCAGGGAGTCCGTGGAGTGTGCCAGGCAGCTCATCCTCAAAGGTAGAGCCGCGAGGATGCATGCGCGTGTGAACCGGCCTAGGAGTCAATGAAAATGTTGATTCACTGATAAGCATTGCTTACGAAGGTGCAAAGGTCAACACAGCCAGCCACAACAACGAGGAGGACACGCCTTTGCACACAGCCGCCAGATTTGGGGTTCCAGAACTGGTGGCATTGCTTTTGACCCACGGGGCCTCCGTCAACTCCCTCAACGCTCTCCAGGAGACTCCCCTAATGACTGCGGCCTTTTGGGCTTTCGACTCCAAGGAGCAAGTCTACAGCCAAGATCATCATTTCGTTTGTCGCCTTCTGCTGGACCACCAAGCGGGTGAGGGGGTTCTGGATCCACTTCAAGGCTGTAATGTGTGGAAAAAAAAAAAACAAAAAAAAAACTTTTTTTGTTCTTCCTCTCTTCTTCTTGTTAAAAACATTATCTTTCTGTTGCAGACCCCAACCTGAAGGAAGGGGATAATAAAACAGCTCTCCACATGGCCGCCTGGAACTGCGATCACGTCCTGATGCAGATGCTGCTGGAGGCCGGAGCGGATGTTCGAGCCATGGACATCAACGGATGCGCTCCCATTCAATACGTCCTCAAAGTGACAGGAGTCAGGCCTATGGCCATCCCTGAGGTCTGCTTTCAGCTTCTGCTGAACTATAACGCGGCGCGGATCTATCCTCCGCAGTTCCACAAGGTACCAAAACGTGTGCAGTGCTCACGTCCCTTTTGTTTTTTATGTTTCATGATTTCATGATTTTCATGAAGTGGAAGGGAGGGAATATGTGTTTTTTCAAACCGTTCGCAAAAAAGAGAGACGGGTTGAAATTCGAACGACAAAGTGTGAAAATGCATTTCAAGGCAACGGATGATGGGTGATGTTTCTGACAGGTACTGCAGACCTGCTACGACTACCCCCAAGTTGTAGAAATTCTGGTGAACTCCTATGAACATTTAAAACCCACAAGAAAGTGGAGAGGAGCTATTCCCGATGACTGCTATGAGGTAGACCCGTCCTTCTTTGGTTCACTGAGGCTGGAGAAGCCACATACGCAGCCTCCTGGTTAAAATGTCACAGACGATGTTTTGACTTTGGGTTTCTTTGTTTTGGCAGCGGCATAAAGACTTCTATGACTCCATGTTTGCCGTTTGCACCAACACACCGCGCAGCCTGCTTCATCTCACCAGATGTGCCATCAGAGCCGGTCTGCGAGGGTTTTGCCAGCGAGGAGTTGATCAATTGCCTCTGCCATCGACTTTGAAGAAATATTTATTGTTAGAACCTGAGGGCATACTTTACTGACGAAGAGACTTTTTATAATATTTATACTATGTTGCTGGGACAATGATTTTGGTGGAAGAGGGTTTAAATCAGGTAATGTTTCTGTCTGTATTTACAGATGTAATGACCAATGAGGAAATCAGTCGCCTTTCTTCGATTCTTTCAGCTCCCTGCTTTAAAGGGCCTGTTTTAGTTTTGCCTGTACTCATAATTTTCCAGTTATTCTTTTCCACACGTGTTTTTCAGCCGTGTTGACCAGTGTGGCTTCAGGCTGAAAGTGCTGCAACACGCTGAAAAGGATCCAGTGCTACCTAGCAACTGGCTAGGCCCGATGCCCTCTCTCAATCTCATGATATTCCTATTTCAGCAGACAACACTCTTGACTGATCACTTCACAATAAGTGTTTGTTTTTCCACCGGGCTGCATGCAGCCGGGGACCCAGGCCTGTTTTTTTTTCTTTTTTTTTTTTTCAGTTTTATCACCAATAAAAACAAATCATGTTCCAGTTCTCCACACCTAAACCTAGACATATTTTAATGTCAGATAAAGATAAGGCAAAGTAAACACAATGATGATTTTGTTGATTAAAGAAAAAAAGCAAATCAGTCGGGTCCCATGTGAAAATAGAATTTCTGGGCTTGGTTGAAAGGTTAACTTTGATTGACTGCACTTTGTTTAGTTTAATTAACACCCAGCGCTGGTTACTGCTTTACCAGTAACATCAAGAAACCACTTCCATAGATCCCGTCAGACAACACGCAGAAAGCTAAGCAATCTCAACAATTCTACGTGACCAAGAGCCCACAGCACCAGTCGTCATACTTGGCGTAAACGGGTAAATACATTTTTGGTTTTTATCTCTTGTTTGGTTTACAGTTGTTAAACAACAGAAATATCGCTGATTTTGTTCTTACGGTTTCAAGTTTCTGAGGAAGCAGAGCTAAAGCGCATCAGAGAGGGAAGGGGAGACGTTTGTGAGCTGCGTTCGTTCGTTTCAAACAAAAAACAAAAGGTTTAACTCCGTATTCCTCCATATCCTACTTTAAAAAAAAAAAAAAATCACTGGCCTTCACCCACTCTCGTCAACCCACCTCTGTGCATGCAGCACAGATGAAACAGGTTTGAACCAGTTTTATCCTGCTAAAAATCTATAAGTCACCAAAAATAAATAAATAAATAAATCACTATCCTAACCACCTAATATTTTAACTTGCTTAAGTATTTCTTGTTCCATGGATGAACCAAACACTGCTTTACACAAGTCGTTTATCACCAACAAGGTTTATACTGCTGAGGACCTTCCACCCGATCATAGGTCACGCCTAATGATAGCCGAGTCTCTGACTTCTATTTTAAACCCTAACCTGGCGCTGATGTGTTTGTGCATCAAAAGAACCAAGATGGGCGGAAACTTTGCCAACTTTGCGGACATGGAAGCGCAGCTCTTTTGGTTTTGCTATCAGGACCGCCCAGGAGCAAACACGTCTCAGCATATTAAGCAAACACACTACAGAGTCGATACGGACATGTCACGAACTCGCATGCTCTCTTACTGTCTGTGAATCAGCTGCAACTTGTAACGGCGTAGCACAAACTTTTGCGGCGTAAAAATCATGGAACGTTGAATTTGCCGAAAAGAACCTGGTGGTCTTTGAGCTCATAACAAAGCAGAGATCCAAGAGAAACGTCTCTTGTAGTTCTGTGTGTGTGTGCCAGATCAGAGAACATTGACTGCATGACTAAAGTGTCAGACTCAAAATAAACCAATGACTGCCAGCCGGCAGCCACACACAGACACTCCTTCTAAAACACGATAAGGGGAAAATTGAGTCACTCGGTTGCAGTCAGTAGGATAGGAAGATTGTACGACGGTTTCAATTGGTGATCAGAAAGAAAAAAAACAAACAAAAGCCCACACAGACACTCACACACAGTTATTTGTGGAGAAGTGTGTTTTGAGGAGTCAAGCTGAGGCTTTGAGGTGTAATAGTGTAGCAACTGGCAAGCACGGTGGTGGGAGCATCATGGTGAGGGTTTAGAATTTTTTTTTTTTTTTTTGCTGCCAGAACAACTGGTGCATTGCGCAAAGCAGAATTATGAAGAGGAGGACTTCCTCTAAATTCTTCAGCAGTGTTGTAATCCAAAATGCACACTTAGAATCTGGAATCATCCTTACCTAAAGTCTGAAAACAATTAACTAGATGTTGGGGTGTCTACTTCATTTTTCTGGATCCGTTCCATAAACAAAACCACCATCTGTCCCTCTCTGAACTAATTTACATGAAGTACACCATTACTGATTTGGTCAAATTGTTCCTTTAACCAGACTTAAGAGGGAGTGTTTGAATAGATTGAAATCTTTGTGCATTTTATTCATATCCTTGTGTGTGTATATATACAAAAAACAGGCAATTTTATTTTAACCAATTCTTTTGTTTTTTTAAATTGTATCATCTTTTCACAGTGTATATAAAGAACTGCTCAAATGCACCATTAAAAGCCCAGAAATGACGGCATCCGTATCCAGAGTGTATATTCAAACTTCTGAATCCATCCACAACACGGGATCGCCAGGCACGCTAATGAAGCTGTCCGACAGAGCTGAACAGTGTGTTCCCAGCGCCTACTGGCAGCCGGCCATCGAAAGCCACTGGACTGTGTCTGCTACGGCGACGGGCAACCCGACCAAAGTTTCCAAAAACAAGGGAGAAGAGAAGGAGGAGGAGGGAGACAACAGTTTAGCAGAATCATTACAGAGGAAGACAGAGCTGTTTACACACCAGAAACACTTTTATTGCTGAATTTGTACAGAGTTGCAGTTTCATGCAAACCCTTCGGAGGTTACACGTTAGCGTGATATCCGGTGGCGGCAAAGTTGAAGATTGAAAACTATTTTGGAAGCCGCAAAAATAAAAATGTAACAAAATGGCATAATGGGAGGTAACATGAGGTTTTTTTTTTTTTTTTTTTTTAAATTTACACCAGTCACTGGTCCGTTTTGTGTCGAATCGCACACTGAGCTTTGTGGCGACACTTGGCCTTTAAGTCATTCTTGCAAAAACTGAATATTAAACGACCAATACAGTAAAAGTGTAGGCAGACTGGGAGATGATTGGGACCAATAACATGATATCCCAGTGTGTAAGGCCATATCAGTTAGATCAATATAGCTTTCGTCTTTTAGTTGTTGAGCCAACAAAGTGTGTGCGTGCGCACGTATGTGTGTGTGTGTGAGATCCCGTCAGTTTAAAGTTAAAGTGATGGTTCACAGTGTATTACTTAACAGGGTAGTTTTCTGTTACGAATCATTAAACCTTTCAACAAAGGCCTATGAGCTTTTAAGACGTGTTATTTCAATAAACAACTTGCTTCCAAAAAAAAGTTAGGAGTTGAAAAGTCATTGAAACTAAAATAAAATACATGAATCTACAAATTACTGCGGAGAATGCAAAACTATTCACGCCCATTAAAGTTGTTCCACAATCCCCCCGTGTTCATTCAAAACCTGCATGTATTTCATTTATTTTTTTTATATCAACACGAAGTAGCACATAATTATGGGTGGGAGAAAAAAAATGGCTTTCATAATTTCTTTCACAATTAAAAATGTGGAAATTGCAAAGTGCATCTTTGATGTTTATGTGTGAATTTTTTGGCCTTTATGCGACAACAAAAAGTGTTGAGTAAAACTAACACTGCACGCAACCATGAACAAACCATCTGCATGCTGTAAAAATGTGGTGGTGGCAGCATCATGGTGTGGGTTTTCAGCAAAGACAGAGAACGAGGGACTGAACAAGCACACGGGAAACCTTGGAAGAAAACTGTTAAATGCTTCAGATTTGAGAGAGCGGATCACCATTCTGAAAGAGTGAACATACAGCCAGCGGTGAAATGGGCCGACTCAAGTCAAAGCATTTTCACGGTCCAGTCAAAGCCTCTAAATATAAGTGAAAATCTCCGCACTACTTTATATTGGTCTTTTGCATACAGAAAGTTAGAAACTGTTTCTCAATACTGATTTTGTTCTTACTGAAATATTGTCTCCGTCTTACTTCAGGCACCAAATTATATATATATATATATATATATATATATATATATATATATTTTTTTTTTAACCACAAACTTGTTTTATTATTATATCTTTATTATATTATTATTATTATTATATCTTTAAAATGGCAGCTGTTTGTTCATCTGAAACAAAATGCTCTCTAGAAAACATGCTAGAGAATGCTTAGCAAAGTCTTGTTGAGCACGCTTCAGCGCCGACGCAGACCAGTATCGAGTTTCTTTTAAGAAAATGTGTCACTGGGATAAAAAGAAGAAAAGAAAAAGAAGCTGATCGTTAGCATGAAGTTTAATTGGCTTGTCTTCTGTACTCTCTTCATTGTATTCCCGCACAGCATTTTAAAATGGAAAACAGATGACAAAACTCACGCATTGTTACAAAACACTCGGGTGATAACACAGAAGTAAAAAAAAACAAAAAAAACAGCAATATGCTGGAACCTGTTATGCAAGTTTTGGCAGTTATTTGTTTTTTCTTTAGGAGATACTGAAAAAGACAAACATCTGTTTGGTTCAGACCAAAGTGAATCTGGCAGCTGTTGCAGTGGAAACTTTCAAAGTTCAGCATGCGAGGACTCGACACTACACTAAAAGGTTCATAATTTTCTAGCTATCCGATTTAGCACCGCTGCTAAATCACATTTTTTATTTTATTTTTTTAAACCACTAAGAAATGTTTTTAGTCGAGTGAATTAAGCGACATGGAGGGTTAAAAGCAAACTTTGCTCCCTTTGTGTTACTACACTCATCATGTTTGACCTGAGTGATCCCACGCTGGCTTGGCTTCAGCCAGGCTTTCCCAGACACAAACACCTTATGCAGGATTAGCAACCGAGGATCGTGTCATCGGTCTCCGATTTGAGAAACAATTACAGCTCAGTCGTGTTCACGCGTGCACGTTAGTTATTAAAACATTGAGAAACATTAAAAGGAGTGACGTTTCCTCTGGAAATCATGCTGAGATTTGTTTCTTTTTTTTCCTACCAACACTGAAGTAAAAAAAACAACAACAAAAAAAAACACCTGGTAGATCAGCGGATGAGGAATCTGGAGCGATGACCGCGTGTGACTGTGACAGTAAAAGTTACAGTGGGAATACTTGTGTGCGTAACTCTCCTAAAGTTCCTTAGTGTTTGTGTGTGAAGCCACTTCTCAACAGAAGCAGGTTTAGCGCTTGTATCTACTAACTGAGGCTTGAAACTAATTAAACTCTTAGCTTTGTTTTTTTCTCTATCATCTTCCATTAGCAGCACAAACAGGCTTACAAGTGGTGTGTGTGTGTGTGTATGAGGTTTCGTGAGGTTAAGCTGGTCTGAAATGTGTTTTTATGTTTCACCATTTCTCCTTGAAAGAAAGTTTCTCCTGAAGCTTTCCTGTCAGAGAAATCCGAGTTCGGTCACGTGATGGGCTTCATCGTCTCCTCACAACTTTGCCTTCTTTCTTTTGTTTGTTTTTACACTTGTCATTCAAACAGTTCCAGAATCTCTTCCGCTTCCTCCTGGGTCCGCCATCACTGGGTCCTCTCGTACTTGCCCAGTTTCTTTGGCTCCTTGCTGGGCATGCACCAGTCGTCTGCCTCTATGGTGCTCTGGTAGTGCCGCAGGGCCGACTTGTTAAAAACAGGAAGTCTCTCCACCGACTCCGAGGACAGGGCCTGGTCAGAAATGTCAGAGAATAAATAATTACTCTCAGGATCCAATTTCACGAAATATCAACAATGACATCCTGGTTACTTCCTAATTTGCTTTGAAATCTGATTATTTTTAGATACCTATTTTAGTTTAGTTTAGTTTGCATAGTTAAAATACAAATCAAAGACCTTAAGAGGAAAAATAATAATGAAACAGTCCAGGTAAAGGCAACAGCCTCCACAAAATGTATAATTCGAACAGCAACGCAACACTTCTTCAGCTGATCACAAATTTATGAAATACGATACCACAGAAGAAAATATTTTTGAGGCATACCCGATATCAGTCTGACATTCATCGGATGCAGATGGACGTTGTGTTTTGGTGATTTAATCGAGTGCATTTATAGCTTCAAAAGCGCTGCTGTAAACTGACCCGCTCTCACCTTTAAATATATGACAGCTGAAGTGCCGTAGCCCTCCATGGAGTAGAGCTGCAGGTCTCCCTGGAAGTACTTGGCATAAAGGCGAGAGATGGGAAGACCATAACCAAAACCAGCCTGAAGGTACAAACGAAACAAAAAACATGAAGGTAACTCCTAACAATGTGGCCTGTGCAGATTAAGACGGATTACGCCAACATTACATCTATAAGCTACACCCTGTAAAGGTTTCCCAACACAACACCTCCTTACTCACTCATCTGATTGCGGCTTCAACCCAAACAACATGTGGCCGCCCGCAATCCTTCGCTGCGTAATCAGCTGACTTTGCAACTATGTTGGATTATGTACGACTCTGTCTGGCTTACAGAGCGCTACATATTATTTTTACTTTTATTTGGAGCTCAGAATTAAAGCAAGACTTCTCCAAAACAAAACAGAAAATTTCACTTGAATTTTAAGATCGTAAAAAAAAAAAAAACATTTGTCAAAAGCAAGAGTGGGCACATTTAATCTTACCAGCGGAGCGTTTCTAGACATGTCCACGTGGACGGGACTGGGAGCCGTGGTGTACATGTAGCTGAAAAGACGTTCGATCTTCCTCAGGGGGACTCCGCCACCTTTGTCCGACATCTGACGGGCAGAGACATGAAACGTTTCCATTTGGAGCCACATTTTGTACGCTAAATAGTCTGCGTGAACAGCACTGGTTTAACAGCTGGTTTTATACCTTGATAGTGAGGTCCTCAATGCCCAGTGAGACGCGGACTTTAATCGGGGGCAACGACGGGCTCGTCTCGTGTGTCTCTACGGTGGCTCTCATGGCGTTCTGAAGGAAGGAAAATGATGAGAAACTACAGGAAAAACTCAGGGGAGAGTTTTTTTTTTTTCCCCCGTAGTTCGGGTGACGTACCTTGAAGAGTTCAAACAGCATGTGGTAGAGATGCGAAGGAACGTATACGATGTGGATGGGCTGGCCCGGGCTTTTAGCTGGGAGACAATTCACAGCATGCAGAATTGCATAGAGAACAGCAGAGATTCACATTTAACTAGATCTCATTTAAATCTTGCACTGTGTTATATTACATTAACATTTATTCTGCCTGGTGTTCTTTTGCAGCAGGTGTTGCAGGTTGGAAGGGACATGCGTGGTATTTAGGCCTTGCAAAGCACAAAACGAGAGCAGACTCTTACTCCATCACAGGTTAGGTATAGTAAAACCTGCTAACAGTCCCAAACGGGATCCTACAAATTGCTTTAGTACTACTTGTTCTGCTTAATCCTAGGATAAAATAGGATTTGTAGCACAAATTGCCCCAACATGTCAAATCAACCACATATTTAAAATGCTAGAATGTGCGGTTTTGTAGTTTTCCAAAAGTAACCCTAAAAAAAATGTAAAAAAAAAAAAAAAAAAAATCATTATAAGAGTCTCTGCATGGTTCAAAAGGAGTTCATTTAGACACTGACTAGTGGTTTTTGTCAGAGTCAGCTGACAGGAAACAGACATCCTGACACTCAGTAACAACAACAAAAAAAAAGAGAGACTGCTGCTTGCAAAAGACAGAAAAAAACTAACGTGTCGAGACAGAGAGAGGGAAAGAGAGAGACAGTGAGGTCTGCAGGAGAAGTCTGAAGGAAACAAAGCTGCATGCTAAAAATAGAAAGTATGTAATGCATTTGACTTACAGTTTACCTCCTTTATCTCCATGTCAGGAGAGGTGAGGTAATACTGCTCACACAGCATCTTGGAGGTCTCATAGGCATCTGCAAAGTGACATGACACCAAACCTTGTTACTGCTTTACCAGAATGTCAAACAACCAAAAAACATGGCAACCTGAGCTAAACGGTGAGCATCGGATCCTCTTGTTTCTGTCACGGTGACCAGTTCCCACCATATACACCATGATGACACTACTTCCTGCTTAAAGTACGTGCTCTCACATTGTAATATAATAATAAGGTCAAACACGGGGTGGTGAAAACAGACCTTTTGTGCGTACAGACAGCAAGTCAGGATCACTTATTACCTTTTACGACCTCCACCACATCACAGCTGGGGTCGATGCTGCCGATATGTTTGGGATGGGCTGGATTTACGCTGCCGTCGAAGATTAACGCTACGGGAAACACGAAAGAGACATGTTTAACACGGGTGACGGTTAAAACTAAACTGTGAGTGAATTGAAGTTGATATGCACTGTGAGCTTTTTTTTTTTTCGCATTTTGCCATATAAAAACTGCAGACTTTGAGGCGTGTATTTGGGATGTTATGCAGCAAGCTAGATACAACACTTGTGAAATGAAAGAAATAGGATATGTTTTAAAAAAAAAAAAAAAACACTGAAAAGTGTGGAGTGCATTTGTGATAAGAGCTGACTCTAGTCCAGTCTAGGTCCATCCGTTACAGGTGGAATCGGTGTACAAAATTTCTGTCATACGGAATCTCAGTCGTCATAGCAACATCGATGTGTTAACGCATGCAAATTTTCATGTCAACAATATGTTTCGTTTTTTGGATAGACTTTTATTGTACTTTGAAATATACTTTTATTGGCTAAAAGACTAAAGCTCACAAATAACAGTTAAATTAAATACATGAAACAAAACAACTTATCTTGATTTACAAGGGCCCCATTACTGACATGAGTTGCGTGTTAGGATCTGTGTCGACTAACTCACAGTTGTTACAGAGTGCAATACTGACTGTGCTGGTTCATGAGCATGCGTGTGGAGATGCGGCTCATGTAGAAGCGGTCCAGGAAGTACTGGACGTTCTGGTTGGTGACGGGGTCCACGCCGAACGCCTCCTTGAACTCCAGCACACCCTGAGCCATGGTGGGCACCACGTTGTTGTGCCGGTTCCGGATGTTCACTAGAGTCTGTGTGAAGCTACGGTTAAGAGAGAACAAAAAGTTAATAACTGAGGGTGCATGCTTCTCGTTGGGTTCGGCTCATCAGAGATGCTATTTGTTTGACAGACGTCAACACGCCACAACTGAGTCAGTCACGTATTTGTTTTCATTTGAAACTTGTTAATTAAATAACAGTTAGAAACCTTACTTGTAAATGCCGGAATTAAAAAAAACAAAAAAAAAAACAGTTAATATCATTAATTACAATGTCTGTGATCTTTTGCACTTCTTGTCCTTAAGTAGCCTTTTCAATAATTAAGCAATTTTTTTATGTTTTGATTAGTGTAGGGGCAGTTTTTACATTTTAAGGTAAAAATAAGCAGTAGTTCTCAAACCTTTTTATTATCATTTTTTTTCTCTTTCCACATTATCTTATCTTGTTAAACTCTCAGTTTTGACTCATTGAAAGGAAACATACCCAAAATGGCGAACCAGTAAGCTTTGCAAAGTACAAAAAATAAAATTATATGTTAATGCTCTGTTAGTAACATCTATATAAAAGCCTAAAAAAAAAAAAAACAGTTTGACAGTAACTGCAATGTTTGTGTGACTGCAGTCTCACAGTCATACATACTATTGGCAAAAACTTTTGTTTATTACTACTATGATAATAGACAAAGGAAAATATATTCCTATAAAATCTTGAGTTTGTATAATTTACCAGAGGTTTGAAATTAAACCATCCAATGACAAAAGAAAACCTAAACTACAACCACAAACACTTAGTGAGATGTCTAACACAAGGGCTTACTTTTTTAGGACATCCTTATCGTCCGGATCTTTTTCTAAAAAGTCAACAAGCTCCATCAGACTCTGTGAATACCTGTTGGACACAAAAGGAAATAATAATAAATTAAAGCTCCGCGGAGCCTCAAG